CCCCCTCCGCCCCGATCTCGCCCCAGCCTCCCATCCCGCACCCCTCCCTCCAGGCCTAACCCCTCCCACGCTCCCGGCTCCAGCAGCTCCGGACACCGCCCTCCGCTGGGGCCACGGGAGCAGGTGCAGCTGCAGCCCCGCCTCCGCCCCTCCCTCGCCGCCCCGCCCCCTGCTCATCCCTGGAGCTCCGCCCCCCGCCCCGCCTCCCGCGCCCGCGGCCCGGCGGAAGGACACGCGCTCCGGTCCCGGGAGGTGGCCTTGGCCCGTAGGCGTGGACCCCACGGTTCCTGCGCCTCCGGGCGCCCCCACCCCACCCTCCCGTAATGGAGTCCGCGGGGAGCGCCCGGGACCGGGTCCCCAGGTGGGCGCGTGGGGGCGGGGGCGCGCCTCGCCCAGCCTGGGGTGCGGGATGGGGACCTGGGGTTATGGGTGCGCGTGGGTGCGGGGCCGGAGTCCCCCGCTGCGCTCGGCCCTGGCTCCACGAGCGCTCGCGGCCTCGTCCCCGCGGGGACCCTGGGCAGGGCCGCGGGGCGCACGTGCGCGCGAAACTTTATTTGGGGCTTACAGGTTCTTTGTATTCTTGGGTTGTAGGATTGATCCGTACGGGTTTGAAAGGCCCGAAGACTTCGATTATGCAGCTTATGAAGAGTTTTTTTCCACCTACCTGGTGATACTCACTAGAAGAGCCATAAAATGGTCTAAACTTCTGAAGGGGAGTAGTCGTGTTCAGAGGAGTGGGACAGGTGAGTTGGAAACAGACGCGCGAGGAGAGGCCCGGGTTCCCTGAGCCCTCAGCTGGCCGCGCAAGGCTTCGAACTCGCTAGAACCTGCTCTAGTAAAGCGCAGGAGACCCTTCCCCCGCTTTGAGATGGGGACCCCGGCCTTCCTTCCAAACAGGGGACCAGATCTGGGGTCTGGGGTATCTGGCAAGAAAACCGCTTTCCTGCTCTCAGGAGTGAGCAAGGTTCTCCCTTGTCCCATACCCGGAGTTAAGCCCTCCCTCCCGGCTTCCCTCAGGGTCAAAGCCCACCTCACTCCAGCTGCTGCCGCCTCCCTGCCCCCACGGACCACCGGGCCTGCGCCTGCCTCACTCTGGGCTTCTCCCCTCCTCCAGGTTTTGCCTGGGATGCCGCCTCCAGGAGGCCCTCCCAAGCTCCTGTCTGGGATGGCAGGTCCTTCCTGTTACACCCACACAGTCCTGCCCGGTCCGTCCTGCTTCTGTTGCCTTCTGGCTGTGTAACTGGTGCCTATCTGGTTTGCTGCATCCCTGCTGGAATCAAGCCCCCTCCCTGCAGCGGGGGTTGGTCTCTGTAATTCCTTCAGTATTTGTTGAATGAATGAATGAAGTGTTTGCCTTCCGTGTTCCCCAGGCTGTGGATAAAGGGCTGGTGGAACCTGCGGGTGGGGGCTGAGGGCGTTGGTAGGTGTGTGCTTCTAGGAGTTAAGATAAAGGACTTTCGGAAATAGGACATGAATGACAGAGAAGGGGTGAGGCCAGAGGGCAGCTGCAGGGACAGAGCCGTGTGACCAGCACTGGGGATGGAATGAGGGCGTGCTGGACTTGGAACCAGGGTTCCATCACATGACCCTGCAGATTTGTCAGGGTTTATAAGCAAGGGGGTGACAAGATCAATTTTTGCTTGTAAAGGGGTTAGTGAACAGGGCCCAGGTGGTCCCAGTGCATAGCCCAGTTGAACAGGAGGGTTGGTGGAGGCAGGTTGATTTTGGGGGACAGCACTCGTGGAGGAGGAAGGCTCTTGCTCGACACTGGGCCCCCCACCAACATGCCTCTCCCCTGCTGGGGCCCCTCCTCGGGGCTGTTACTGATGGGGGAGGGTTTGGTAAGCACTCAGGTAAGCTGGCCTCGTTCCAGGAGGTTTGGGGGTGGGGGCTGGGAGGGGCTCAGGCTTGTGCCGTGTTGCCCTGTGGATCCTGGAGGCCAGCGCACTGTGTGCCTCCTCCAGGGATCACTAATGGCCATCCCTGCGTCACCCCAGTGTTACTGTGTTTCCACCAGCATATCTGCTTTTGTTTCCCTTTTCATTTATTCTTAAAAGTTGACTGGTCTTTTGTTCTTAAAAAAAATAGAAGCGTATAAAGTAAACGTAGCTTATGTACGTGGTAAAACATGTTAATCACATTGAAAGATGTAGAGTGAGCCGGAGTTCCTCTCCTGGTCCAGACCCGTATGTGAGGCAGAGGCGATCGTCGGGACCACCCTGTGTCTCCGCCGGAGCAGGGTGAGCACACGCACGTGCACACACGTGCAAATGCAGCTGCCCCCACCGCTCGGGAGTTTGCCTTAATGCAGGAGAAGGCCTCCTGCCCGCCGGGGCTAACTCCGGACTGCTGACCAGCGGTCAGGGAAAGCACGGTCCCTGTCAGGTGTGTGTGTGCATAAGCCTGTGTTTTTACGTGAAACACAAACGCGCCTTCATCTCCCTACCTTTGGTTTTATCGTTTGGTTCCAGTGTGTCCCGTCCTTCCCTTTGAACGAGGTGAGCCCACTGATTGACGGTCTGCACCGCCTACCGAAGCCACACTCCGTGTCCCGTGTCTGTTTTCCAGCATCTGTTCTCTCCAGGTTGAGCAGGACTGAGAGCAGCCAGATGCAGAACCTTCCAGATGCTCGTCCTTCCCGTCTTTTTAGTTCTCTTATTTTGGCTCAAATGTTTTGTCTTGTTTTTGCTTCTGTTTTTTTTGAGCACTGGTATCTGTCAACTTTAAGAATTTAAGATGGTTTTATTGAACTACTTCTTTTTTGCTTTAGTATTTCTTTGACTCATGTAACCAGTATAAGCGGCATAGTGGGTTTGGAAGCAGGAATGTTTGACTCCTGATGAGCCTGCAGCCTGGGGCCGGGCAGTCAAGGGGGGCTCGCGGCCTGCCGTCTTCAGGAAGCGGGGGCACAGATCAGTCTGTGAGAGGCATGTGGGCTCACACGGTTCTGTGACGCTGGGTGTCGCGGCTGGCGCTTGGCATGATGGTTGGGGAGTCTGGAGTGGCTGTCAGGCATGAACAGGAGTGCACGAGTCATTCCAACGTGAGAATCCAGTTCTCCCACCAGCTCCAGGCTGACCGCAGTGTAGTCGGGCACGTGGCATCCGGCGGCGGTGTCCGTGGCTCGGTGGGACCAGCCAGAAAGCCGCACCTGCTTCCAGCCACACCTGCACGGCCCCCCTTTGGTCCCGTCTTGGGACCGAGTCTTGTTTTCTTCATCCTGCCGTGTGGTGCTCTGTTGTGGAGGACTTTCATCTAGACGCCGACCTTCGGTCACCAGTAACACAGGGACCTCTGGATCTCGGTGTCAGCCTATCTGCAGAGGGCAGCCCAGACTTCGGTTTGACTCCCATTTGTGGACGTGACGAAGGTCTGCTTTGTCCTTCTCTTTTTTCTTTTCGTCTGTAGCAAATATCCGCGGGAGGCGTCAGGCCAGCGTTGTAAATGCCCAGGACTGAGGGTGCAGGGTCGTACGGCAAGAAATGAACCCTTGCCCTTCAACGTTGCCTCCCAACGGGCAAGAAACTTCAGTCTTGCCCATCTACGGCTTCTTTCTTCTCCCTCCACCTAGGCAACCGCAGTTGGGCAGACTCAGCCCGGCCTTGGCCAACCATCTTTCTGCTCCCGCCCACGCTGGCGCCAGTCTCCTTCCTAGTGGCTTAGAGTATCAGCACCATTTAAGTTAGAATTAAGTTGCAAAAACAGACTTTCAAAGGCAAATACCAAGACACACAGGGATTTGTTTCACCTTCTTTTAAGAGCCCCCCCCACCCCCCCGCATTCCCTGAGGTCAGGGAATGTCAGTCTCTGGGGACAGGTAAGCTAGTTTTATTCTCTTCTGAAGAAACATTGTAACTCCAGAGAACAAACAACAAAAGTAGCAGAAGCCTTCGTCCTTGGAAACTGTTGCAACAGCTCAGCCACCTTGGCCTCCTGGCCTGGCCGCCCCTTCCGGCTGGGCTGGCGGGTCCCAGGGGAGCCCAGTGTCCGACTCCAGGGAGGGGTTTAGGCATTTTGCATTTGCCTTTTTTTTTCTATTTAAAAAAAATTTTTTTTTTTTTAA